GTAGAGTTAGTGGGGTTGGGGGGTGGGGGGGGGGATAAAATGTATGGATAAGGAGATACATACTCAAAATCAAAGAGCTCTGGGGACGATAATCACTATCAATTTGAATGAAAATTTTGGAAAGAAAAATAAAAAATATGGATAAAAGGATAAATAACGTATATATTTTTTAGGGGATGGGAGGGGTTCACTTATGCTTTTTAGTATATGTATATGGGTTTTGGCTCAGGTTGGGTGGGATCGGTCCTCTTTTGATTGAATATTTATTAGATCGAAAAAAGAAAATAAAATATGAAGTTAAAAAGTTACTACGGAAAGTTAGATTTTCCGATTGTATGAGTAGGTGAAAGTTTTGTGATTTTTATGTTAGAAAATATGGTTATATGACTTTGATAGAGAAAAAAATTATATTTATATTCCCAATTGTAAAATTTACCTAGCTACTAAATTAGATCTTTCCGCTTTTCAAAGAAAAAAGAAGAAAAAGAGAAAAAAATCAGAAATTGTGATATGAAATATTGATCATTTTGAATGTCGTACAAAATATCCTTATTAGATGTAGTTTTTGATTACTATTCCATATTGTAAATATCAAATTGTAAACAACCTATAACAGTACCGTATAGGCAGAGATTCACCATATCTTTGAAATCACATTGAATTGTGTGAGTTATCTCATTTAAAGTGGACTCGAAAGATTTACCATTCATATAAAAAGATTGAAAAAATGAAACTGTATCATATTTTCAATTATGTGACAGCATATACAGCCATTGCTTTGTGCTTTTGTAACCTTAATTATTTTCTGTAAATATTTTAAATAAAATTTAATGCAAGTTACATGTTCTCTTCTCCCGGTTCTCTGAGGCAGAAATGGATTCCCATCCAGCCAAAAATACAAAAGAAACTTGAGATGCGGAGAGTCACAATTTCTCTGGGTATGTGTGCCAACGCCATAAAAGGTCTGCCATTTTGGACTATATTCTACCTAGATAATTAATAGCTATTACGTTTCAATTTAATTTATGTGAACTTATTTTTTTTTTAGTTCGTGCAAAAAGAAGGACTCCCTTCCTTATTTGAAAATAGTTTACCTTTATACAATGATCTATAGTCAAACAAAGTATTTGTGCCTCATTTTACACCACAAGTTTAAAAGTCTTCTCTTTTTCTTAAACTTGTGCCCAGTCAATGGGCTCACCTAAATTAAAACGGTGCCAAGGTTTGTAGTGGGATGGACCCATCCACCCTTAACCAGAGATATCGGGTTCGATTCTTGAGAATGGAGAATTTTTTTTTGTGGAAATGACACCACGTAGTCACTTTTAAGCATGTTGTTCAAAATATCCACAATTTACAATGTATTTAAATATTAGCCAATTTCGCTCATACTTCAGGACACGTCGTCCTAGAGTTTAAACCTCAAATTTCAAATTTCAAGACATCGTGTCCTAAAGTTCGAAAAATGTGTCCTGGAGTCTGAATCTTATGTCCTGAATTTTAAATTAGTAGTTCAGAAATTCAGGACACTTAGTCCTGAATTTCAAATTAGCAGCTCAAAATTTCAGGACACTAAGTCCTGAATTTCCAAATGGCAGAATAGCCTAACAAACACTTTTACTTGTCCCGTTTTGTCATCCCGGTCCCGATACTCTATGGAGTTTCATCCAAACACTTATAGTTGTTAAAACACATTATTTTAAACCCTTCCGGCCTCGCGTGTACTTCAAACGCACGTGGATGACACATCATCATCCACATCAGATTTTTAGTGATAAATCATTATTTTTTTCACTTTAATTTCAACAATTTTAATTTTCTTTTTCTTTTTGCACTCTTCTTCCCCACCTTGTCCACCTATCTTCATTTTTTCAGCAGAAACAATATGAGTTTCTGCCTTTACCAGTGACACCATCGCCATGGACAATTAAAAACCACCCTTCTCCAACTTTTTATCGTCCACATCTCGGTTTCAGAGATTTTTGTCCAATGCCGCCACCCGCTACTTCAAATTTATCATATGAACCACCTTGAACTCCTTTCCTCCATTGATATATGCCAGTGCACTACCACTTAAATTCCTCAATATCCTCATATGTCCACATATTTTTACATTGTACACCTACCCAACCACAAAGATCTTCATCAACCACTCTTCACCCTCCAAAACCACCATATCTCCACGGTAAACTGCCAAAAAAATTTAGATCTTCAGCTTCTCTCCATCAAATAAAAATTTACCATTATATATCGAGTCCACCACCTGAATCCATTAGTCTTGAAACGATTGTTACCCAAAATAGATTCAACACTGGAATGACCATAGATCTAAATCATCTGAGAAACACTAATGGTGGTTGCTCTTAGAAAAGGGTTCTTAATATTTTTTCTGAAATTTTGATTGAAAGTTTGTGAAAACAGATAGGGAAAAAATTGGAAAGGCATAAGGGGAGAAAGAGAAAAGAAATGGAGGAGGGGTGGGGAAAGAACGGGAGATGATAATTGCAGAAAGAGAATAAGACACGGGGGGAGGGGGTGGGAAAAGAAGAAAGAGGAGACCCATTTTGTTTTTTATTATTATTTTTTGTCTTTTACTTTTCCTTTTTAGTTTTTCTACTTATTTTAATTATTTTTAGTCTAAGTTTCAACGTTTACGCTCGTTGTTATACGCGTGAAGTCCAACTCCGCCATTAAGTTGCCACGTATGTTTGGTCAACGGTCAGAGGGATTTAAAGTACTGTGTTTTAATAAGTATAAGTGTTTGAATGAAACTCCGTAAAGTATCGGGACCGGAATGACAAAACGGGACAAGTAGAAGCATTTATTAGGCTATTCTGCCTTTCCAAATTGAAGATACTTAGTCCTGAAGTTTGGTGAATTGGCTAATCTTTAAATACATTATAAATTATGGATATATCTTAAATTGCGGGCTTAAAAGTCTCTATTGTGCTCTTCGCCCAAATTTTTGGCAGATAGAAATCCCTTCTTAATGGGCCTTACGTGGCTCAAATATGAACTAATCAGACCAGTAGATACTAGATACCAGATGATCAAACCAAAAAAAGGTTACTCCTCAAATATACTACAAAGCTGGTATTCAAAATTTAACCAAATAGAATTTCCATGAATTCTCTAATTTATGTGCTCTTTTTTCGCTTTTGTTTCGTTTTCCCCTTTAAGCGGGCATGTCGATATGTGTGTCACACTGCAGCATAAGTTATCCTGAAGCAGTGACAATGAAAGTTGAGCTGAGAATTCCAGTCATCAGAGGCCAATGTCCCAAATCTATTTTATTGTGCCATTGGCTAATGCAACTAGCAAATCTACCAATGTGAACCCTCCATTTGTTTAGCATTCCAAGAAAATAAAAATTATTGATTTCTTCCTTATAAAATAGGCCTCTTGCCATCAGTAACAATTTTCACAGGGAAGTCCCTCTTTGTCGCCTCTATTTTCACTATCCAATTCTTGAATTAATCTTCCCCATTACATCCATGGATGAACAAGCAATGATTTGTGAAAATGCTGTTGGCGTTGATAGTAATTTTGTTGGATTCAGTTGCAAAGATCACAAAAAGTCACCAAACTTTCTATTGAATTTGATGAAGTATTCTTTGCTTGTTGGAGCTGAAAAGGTTTTAATGGTTCGAAAATCACAAGAACCATTTTCATGCTCCAGCTTAAGTTCATGGACAGACGAAGAAATTGCTCGTGAAAAAAGGAGAAACAAAGGCAAATCACCTATTCAGGATAATAAATCATGTGCAATTGAGTCATGTAATGAGCATTTTGATATGCCAAAAGTGGTTAACTCTTCTCCTTCAGGAAGTTATAATACTGAATTATCGTTCGATTTCACTGCATTTTTTGCAGTAATGATGCTCAAACTAGTTGGATTTCAAATGAATCTATTGGTAAGACTCTTCACATTTCCCATTACTTTGATGAACTATTGGATAATGATCTTGACCTTACCATTTCACACACTAACCTTAGCCAAAGAGCAATTAAAGAAACAGCTAATGAATCTCGGCACGAAGTCTTGGTTAAGTTTGATGTCATTTGTATTCAGCCAGATTAAGGCACAAAAATCTGTGATGAAATTGACAGTAAGGTTCTGTTGGGCTTTGTTCTGGGCAGTCTATGTTTGTTTATTGTTGGTTGGTTTGTTGGTAATGGGATTTGTGATAAGTGGAGTTACAATGAGACGTTTGGTGGAAGAACCAATTGAGACAACAAAGACATTGAATTTTGATTACACAAAAACTAGCCCTGTTGCTTTTGTACCACTTGCATCATCTGCTGGTCTCTCTACTACACTGATTTCCAAACCAAAAATTGTAGACCGGCCCATACCTTATAATCACAAGTTGCAGCTTATTGTTTCATTAACCATGCCTGAATCTGAGTACAACAGGAAGCTTGGGATTTTCCAGGTACTCTTGCCTTTTTTCTTTCTGGTTTTTTTTATTTTTAGGGTGTGTTTGGTATATGACAGAAAATATTTTTCAAAAGATCTTCTAGTGTTTGGTTGCCAGGAAATAATTTTCTCGAGAATAAATTTTTTTATCTAAAGGGGAAAACGACTTCCCCTCATATTAGGGCGGAAGTCATTTTTCTTAACAAAAATTATCTCAATTTTTAACTACATATCACTATTTTAACTAATACTCAGAGTATTATTATCAATCTTTAATATTCAAAGTTTTCAGAAAATGTTCTTTGCTCTCTCCTGTTTTGGTTGGTGCATGCAATAAGAGATTTAATCTCAACATTAAACTCAATCCCTACATTATAATCCATGTATAATTGAACCTCTAGCTTTTGTCCCTGAAGGTAAGGGTGGACTGCTTGTCGGCAGATGGGAAAGTGACAGCAACCTCAAGCTATCCAAGCATGTTAAAATTCAAAAGCCAACCAATCCGAATTGTCGAAACCGCGATAAAAAGCATCCCTCTTGTCACTGGTTTTCAATCAGAAGTCCAGAATTTGAATCTAGTCATCAACGATTTCACCGAAGGTTTCGAGCCTACAGCATGTTTTAAAGTTGTTCTTGAAAAAAGAGCCGAGTATCAACCAGAAGGCGCAGGTATACCAGAAATATATGCAGCAGCCTTACATGTGGAATCAGAGCTTCCTCAAATAAAGAGAATTATATGGCTTTGGAGAAGAACTGTTTTTGTTTGGATTGGGATTATGTTATTCTTAACTCAGCTAAGTTTCGCTTTCATATTTTGTCGGCCTGTGCTTTTACCAGGAAGAAGGCTAATGACAGTTCTTGGAACTAAAAAGAATGCCCAAAAGAACAAAATTTACTGGTAATGGATTCAGCATATCAGATGAGACATTGATCTTATTAGGAGATATTATTAATATGTTGTTCAAGAATTAATGCTTTGAATTAGCATTTTCATATTTTGTTAGGTTTATTGTTACCTCTCCTTGTATTTCTTATTGTCAAGAATGAATGACAATGAGTAATAAAAGTATCATGGCTTTAATAGTTTAAACGATGTGTGTGAATTTATCGGTTGAGATTTTGAATTAAAGTAATCAAAACAATTTTTAACGTTACTCAAATGAAGTATGCATGAAGTATATGTTGTCGCCCTAAAATAAGCAAATAAATGTTTCTCCTGCTTAACAACAACTAGATTTCTAATACTCTAATTTAAACATTTAAATGATTCAATTTATATAACTTGATAATATTAGAGTGAACTAGTCTTAGAGTTTGCGCGTGTACCCCATCTCAATAAGTATAAAAGCTTTTAAATATTATATAAATATTACTGAACTATGTATATCTGATGTATAATTATTTTAGTATAAAAAATGTTTCTAAAATTTGATGTTGAGATAAACGGTGTAATAATTTTAGATATTGAAATAATTTATTCTAATTATAACATTTATTAGAATTTTTATTTACATTTTGGTACATAAACTTTCTAGAAGAAGCATTTGATTAAAGAGTTATGGACATGTTATTTTATACACAGATAATCAAACATAATGTTTCACAAAACTTTCTTTATTATTTTTATTGACTAAGATAATTAAATTATATAAAAAATTAGTTTTAACCCTGTATATATAAATCTATAATCTATCTATACTATTATAAAAGCAGTAATCCCATGAGCGAAATATTGATCAACTTTTTTATTTTATAAATAGATTTCGCTATAGAATTATTATTCAATTATTTTTTTAATATTAAGAACTTGAAATTTAATAAAAAAAAGTTATTAAATAATTTTCTAATCTGAACTATATAGGATTCCTAATATATTGAAATTTAAAATCAATTAAAATTTCACCTAATATAAATTCTTGTATTATTTGAACTACATAACTATAATATCTTTCATGTTAAATAAAATTACATTTATAATAAATTTTTATTATTATTTCGTTATGTTTTATTTGATCGCTAAGTATTTTATTTGTTTAGAGTCCAAGTTAATAAGATATGCTTTGAGTGTATTAATCTTAAAATATTGTTATTATTGTTATAGGAAATAATTTATGAATTTTAGAGAAGTTTAAATTTGCTGAAATTTAGAATATAACAAAAGTCCTATTTATTGTTGAATTCTAAATCTCAAGGTCATGGATCAAGACTATGTTAAAGTGTCCCAAGCATCTACAGGAAGAAAACTTCTTTTTGCCACTAAACAATGTCTTATTTGTTATTTGATTGATATATGTTCTTTAGAATGACACGATTGAAAGCGTCACGGTTTAATTTCAGAATACATTTTTCTTATTTATAAAATTGCTTATGTTGCATAATTAAATAAGTCAAGAATTTACACAAAATATTTAAATAGCAAAACTTTCTAAATAGTTTAAATAAGAAAAGATTTACACAAACTTTACTTGATTTAATATTTTTAAATATTATAAATATAATTAAATAACTATTTTGTCTAGTGTAAAAGCTTCTTTTAAAGGGTAAATAAGACGAACGATATTTTACTCAATTAAAACAAAATTCTTTTGAAGACCAATTTTTTGTTATCTCTGTTACAAAATATTAAAAATAAATAAATAACAAAAAAAATACTTTTATCACGATAGTTGGTTTATCAACCTTGAAAAGTTTAGTGATTCTTTTGTATTTAGTAGTATGTTTTTGTACATAATATTATAAAATGAGTATTTGGTTAAAAGGTAAAAAGATTGTTCAATTTTATATGTGTATGCATTTTGATCTATCAACATTTTGCTTTAGACCCTCCTACTTCCATAATAATTTAGCTTTTAGGTACGCGTTTCGCGCATGTACCCCTTATCAATAAATGTACAATTTTAAAAAATTATACAGATATTGTTTATAAAGGCCAAATGTTATTATTTTTATTACCTAATATTAAAAATAAATAAATAACACAAACATACTTTTATCACGATTGTTCAAAATATTATCAAATAAAACAAATTGAATAATTTAATCTTTTTTTTTCTTTTAGAGACGTGAGAATGAAGAGGTTAGTCTCACACATTACAGAAAAAAGTTGATAAAATGACAACTTAAAGTCTAATTAAAAATGACCAATTTTAAGTTCATAATTTACGAACAATGAATTTATATATAAAAAATATAGAGAGATGTGATTTGTTGGATAAATAAAAAAAATAACTAATGATAACTTATTTACTTGCATAATAAATTTGAAAATTCGAAAAACAAATTTATATATCCTGAGAGTTTCATAAAAAATAATTTTACTTATACAATGATTTTCAAAATTCAAAAAAAGTAAATTGAGTTTTTATGCTAATTAGTTCGTTCAAACACTTAATTATTTGCCTCAATGTTAAAAAAAATAATTTTTTATTCATTTTCTTACTATTAGCTCATCTTTTGTTTTAAATATTTACCGCAATTACTTTTTGTCCAATAAGAACCATAATGGTTTAAAAAGTAAAATTTAGTGTGCTTTTAAAAAAAATATAAATTTATACCTAATGTCTAGGACACTCTCTCTATGAGATCCTGAGAAAGCACATCATATTTGTATTAACCCAAAATTCAAAGTCCATCATTTATAATTTGATTACAATTATGAAAAAATTCTTTATATCCCACTGGAAATAACGTAAGTAATAGGAAAAATTAATAACAGTATAGTTACAAATAGATTTAGATACGAAACTAACTTAAAACCAATTTAGGTTTTGCATATAAATGAAAAAAGTGAACGAAAAACCTACTGAAAACATCCAAATCCTAAAAGGAAAAATTTAGGGTTTCCTACTAAAAACCTTCAAATCCTAAAGGAGAATTTAATACTCATAGGTATGAATTGAGTTGAAAGTGAAGAAATTTGAAATTCTAGAGCTAAAAGGGATTGAAAAATCAATATTATAAATAGTAAGAAAATAATGAAATGACTATTCCTAAAGAGTAGGAAATTAATTAAATAACTATTCCTAAATAGTATAGAATTAACTAAATGACTATTCCTAAATAGTAGGAAATTAAATAAATTACAATCTTGTCCGATGTAAATTCATTTTTAAAAGGATAGAAAAGACGAACGACATTTCGCTAAGGACCTTCGTGCTTTTAATATAGTGTAGATACTAGTAAAAGTTACGTATCTTACCGGAGAAATGGATAGAGGTACATCATTTGACTGTTTTAAATGGATGTGTTTGATAGATAAAAGTCATTTTATAAGAAAATACTTTCATTAAAAAAAAATCATTTTTTGAATTCTAGTTACCAAAAAGTATGTGGAAAACATTTTTTATCAAGGGGCAAAATTATTTTCCTCGCCTATGGACGGTAGTTATTTTTGTTATAAATATTTAGCTTTTATTGCATTTTTTTTTATTTAATTATATATTATTATCAATATCTATAATAATTTTTAAAAACCAATAAATCAGTGAACAAAAATGATCATTCAACTTACGAACAGACCAGTCTTATTTAGCAACTATTGCAACAAGAAGAAAAGAGTAGTAGTATCAAATATTTGGAAGATTGAGCGCCACATCATACCTTCACCTGGTTTCATGGGATACGGTCTAAATTTTACGTGGCTACTTGGGGTCTGGCGTGTCATTAACATTCATACCCCTCAAAATGGACAAGTAACATAAAAGAAAATATTGTGTCCGTTCACTTTTACTTGTCCATTATATTAAAAAATATATTTTTATTTTTTATTTGTGCACTATCGTAAATTAATAGAATGATAATTTTTTTATCATGTTTTACCCTTAGCATTAACTACTTTTTCCTCGAATCATTTCTCAAAACTTTTGAAAATGCTATTATTATTACAGACAACTACTAAATATGTACTTCAATTTTTTTTTTTCAAAGGAAGGACAAAGTCAAAAGTGAACAATTAAAAATTAAGGAAGGGAATATAATTAAAGTAACTGGTGATTTCGTTTTAATTGCTCCCTTACCTTTAGGGTGCTTAACGTGTAAGTAATTTTAAACAACCACTTTAATAAATTCTTAAGACACCCATTTGGCCCATTATGAAAGCTATAGTCCTTCCTTTTCCTAGTAAGTTCATTCTCCCTTTCTTAAAGGAGAGCATATCCAGGGGCGGATGCGCTCTTAGTGAAGCGATGTCAAGCGATACCGCTTCGTCGAATTTTTTTACTAAATATATGTATTAATACTGTGAAGAAACAAATAAGTAGAAAAAAATAACACTACTTGACATAAATTGTCTTTTGGTGTGTTGGTTATGTGCTTGATTTTGCTCTAAAAGGTTAGAGTTCAAACCTTAACTAGCACAACTTTTTTTGCAAATATTTGAAAGAGTCTGTATGGTTAAAAATGTGATGAAGTAGAATTGAATCCAGGATCTTTTCTAACTTGAAATTCAACAAAACCAATAGACTAAGAATTTTTTTGTCTAGAAGTATGATAATTGAAGTTATAATTCATGTACGTATATAAATTTTGACACCGCTTATAAAAATTTATGCATACGCCCCTGAGCATATCCTAGTGAAAAGCATTATTTTGTTACCTAAAAGTTTATGGTAAATTTGTATCCCCTGTTTGTTTGAACAAATTCTCCACTTTAATTTGGTTTTTAAAAGACGAAATACAAAATTCAATGTTTCACGAAAATACCTTAATCGAACATATATTCCCTTGAAATTCTAAAGTGCAGAGGGAAATAAAGAAAATTTCTATTAACCGAAACATTAAAAAAAGAATTGGACAAACAATTCCAGCAATCAAGAAAACTAAAAATGCTTCCTTTTACGTGATGCTTGTCATCCAACTCCTAGTAGAAGTCTCTAAAAGGAAAACCCAAAAAAAAAAAAGATTG